TTGCTAGCTTTGCTCTGTGCTTTACTTCGCTTTGCTTTTCTTTGCTTTGCTTGCTTTGCTTTGCTTTGCTTTGCTTTACTTTGCCTTGCTTTGCTTGCTTTGCTTTGCTAGCTTTGCTTTGCTTTGCTTGCTTTACTTTGCATTGCATTGCCTTGCCTTGCTTGCGTTGCTTTGCCTTGCCTTGCTTGTTTGGCGCCAATCGGACAAAGACCAAGGCCCCCCAAGGAGTCAGAGATATATAGTCAGAGTGATCAGAGCGTCAAGGGTTGAGCACCCTCCAAGGCCATCCATTATTCGCCTTGCTATCTTTTCATTGCGACCGCACAGGGGGCCACGCGACATCTCCGGACCCAGTTGACCCCAGTTGACCTCAACTGGGTCAACTGGGTTCAACTGGGTCAACTGGGTGAACTCGACGACGACTACTACTGCTACTACTACGTGTCAACTGGGTTCAACTGGGTCAACTGGTTCCGAAGATTTTGACAAGTTGTGAACTCTCCAGGGTCCATCAGCACTACTATCACTACCACCACGACGACGACCACGACGACTACTAATGCTACTACTACGTGTCAACTGGGTTCAACCGGGTCAACTGGGTCGTAGGTGGTAGGTGGTAGGTGTTAGGTGGTAGGTGTTAGGTGTTAGGTGTTAGGTGGTAGGTGGTAGGTGGTAGGTGGTAGGTGGTAGGTGTAGTAGTAGTAGTAGTAGGAGTAGGAGCAGGAGTAGGAGTAGTAGTAGGAGTAGGAGTAGGAGTAGGAGTAGGAGTAGCAGGAGTAGCGGTAGCAGTAGCAGTAGTAGCCGTAGTAGAAGTCGTCGTTGTCGTCATCGTCGGTGGTGGTGGTGGTGGTTGTGGTGGACCCTCTTGACCAGGGGCTATGCTAAATCTTCGGACCCAGTTGACCAGTTGACGGAGTTGAACCCCAGTTGACCCAGTTGAGCAGTTGACACATAGTAGTAGCAGTAGTAGTAGTAGTAGTAGTTGTGGTGGTGGTGGTGGTGGTGGACCGTTGCATGTTAAATCCCCGGGCCCAGTTGACTCAGTTGAACCCAGTTCAGTTGACCCAGTTGAACCCAGTCTCCCTTCTTGTTGGGTCACTGTGTGCAATGAATTTGTCTCCCAGCTCTGGGCTGCTGTGTCCGCCTCTGGCTTGCAATCCTTTATATACATTTGTCTCCCAGCTTGTTGCTGTCTCTGTTTGGGCTGCTGTGTCCGCCTTTGCCTTGCAATCCTTTGCATGTGCCTCCCAACACTGGTCTCCTGTCTCCGCCTCTCGCTTGCAACCGCTCTGCCCTGCAATCCTTAACAATCCTTTTACTTTTGTCTCCCTGTGTCTACATGTGTCTCCCAGCTCTGGACTGCTGTGCCCGCCTCTGCCTTGCAATCCTTTGTCTCCCAGCCCGGGACGTCGCAAACTCTAGTTGCAGTGTTCCGATTTTGAAAAGCACAAACAGTTTGGGGTCTACGGTGGTGTATTTTTTGTGGCTTGCCGAATTGGCCGCCCGGCTCTTGCTGTGCTGTGGCTGGGCTCGGAATTCTTCTTTCCCGTCCTATCATTCTCTATCACTGCAGGAAAGATCATCAACGACCAGACCTGGCTGATTAAGAACCAAGGCCTCTGGGCTGGAAGTGGTTCCACAGACAGACGCCCACGCCGCGCCTGCTTGGACGAGGGTAGGAGGGTCGGAGGGCCTTTTCGGGCCTTTTGGCGGTGTAGCATGGTGGAGGGTCGGTGCCAGACCGGACCGGAAAAACCCAACAGCTCAAAGCCAAAGCTGTTCAAAGCCCGGGTTCCATCCCAAATGACATCAAAACACAGCACTCATGATACTCAAGCCTGTCCTGTGGGAGTTTTCGTCACCAAGTGGTTTGAGTCAATGTTGAGTCCATGTGCTTTGGTCCAAAAAGGGCTGTCCAAACTCTACTTCCTTACAACCCCCCACATTGCGAAAGAACCGTCGACAGCCCATCACTGACTGGGCGTCCCGACAGCGGTGCGCACGGCGTTCGATGGCGGACTCGGACGGCGGAACCGATGCCGTCGACAGGCGGTCGGTGAAAACGACACGCCCCTAAAATCATCATGGCCTACGTGGATCGCGTGAGTTAGGGACTGAGTTCGGATGACCCTTTAGTTTCCGAATGCCAAGTAGGTGGTGAACTCACTCTGGCCCATGATGATTTCAGGGAGTGCGTCCCGGAACATCTCAAGAGGCAGACGCGGCAGGAAAGTACGACCTGGATCACCTCAAACAACTCTGTCCAATTTGGAGGCAGACCCTCTCCACCAGTGAGTGTAGTGCACCTTCTCCAACCCATGATGTGAGATTTCTCCACCGTTTTGTCATGATCATTCGTCATTCACTCTCCAATTCCTCCCCAAATCAGACCTAAAGAGCTTGCTCACTTGCTGACTTGGTGCAGACCAATGGCTTCCACAATCCTCCGCGAAATTGGAGGCAAGTTCCAAGCTTACGTGGAGGTGGAACTCGCGCAGCTCAAGGAGTATCTGGCGCTGATTGCAGGCGGGCGGTCTTCACCCAGCTGAACGCGGGAACTGGATCCCCAAATATCCCAAACACCGGGTTTCTGAGTGGTTTTGGGGGAGGTGCATCGAAAGACATGTCAGCGGCTCGATGGGCCTTCCGAAGGCTGCATAGGTTTGTGAGAAGGCACCAAACGACGTGCGCAACATCTGATATCGTATATAGTATCTACCCTGGGAGTATCTGGGAGTCAAAGACTATAAAAAAGAATTGTCTTTAGGGCACCTGAAAGGGACATTACTGTACTTCACTAAGGAAAAGTATACGTACTCTTTGGACTTCTAGGGTCTATTCTCATCCAATTCCAGAAAACAAGAACCACAGGTGCCAAACTCTTGCCAAAGCATCTTCGCGGCGGACTCTGACCAATGGACCGACCACTCGTGAGGGCGTAACACTCTCCTGATCCTCACTGATCGCAGCCGCTGATGTGAAGATGGCTGAGCTCTGTACATGCCCAGATGAAGCGGCAGAGCCAGAGCCAGATTGCCCAATCTATGTATGTCATTCACGGTGCTGAGCTGTGGATGGAAGATCTTGGTTCCGAACTGGAAGCGCCATGGCGATCGGGGAGCAGACGTACCTGTCCAAACGGTGTGGGACCTCCGGCCGTGGCTGAATGGAGTGCTGGGCAAGAAGGGTGGGTGGGATGGAAGGGGATGAAGTCTCGCACCTCGACCCCCAGGATGGTCCATGGTCTATCAGTGTTTTGAATTGTTTTGATATGTGTCGATGCTCATGCGGCTGCTCGTCGCCAGCTCGCTGTGTTCACCAACAAAAATGCAGCGACTCCTTCACGTGGGTGCGCGGTGTGCTGATGCGTGGGTGGCGTGCGTGGAGCGGCCAGGGGAGAATGTGGGCTCTGACGAGCACATTGGCCTCATCTTTGGGGACCACACCTTTGGCGTCTCACGGAAGTTCACCAATGAGGACAGGTTTCGGCGGCCCCCCCCAAATCCTCCCCAATGAGGACGGGAGATTGCCCGGCATTGTTTGCCGAAGGCTATACAAGCCCCCCTCACAGAGAGAGAGAGAGAGAGAGTGAGTGTGAGTGGGCGAGCGAGTATAAGGGGCCAAGTGACCATTGGTCGGGCTCAGAAGTCCTTGGGCCTCGGGGGGGCCCGATGTTTCGTTGCAGGACGTGCCGGAGAACACACCATCCGGGCCGGGCCTGGAAACGGAGGGCGTGGTGCAGTGGACGGGCGTGGCAGGTGCTTGGTGTGCTTTTTTCCTTGGCGGGTTGCTAGGAAAGTGCTAGAAAAATAGCACTGGGACTAGCTGACTAGCAGAACATGCAGAACCGAATCAAAAGCGATCTCTTTTGAGGAGTCTGTGGATTGGGTTGTTTGGTGGGATCCGGACGCCTTGCAAGTCAGCTACAGTACGCGGTGAAATGGCCGAAGACTCCTCCAAGTGGACAAGGTCGATCGTGCATGTGTGGTGAGGTTAGACACTGCTAGGTTCGCACCACGTACATATACATATATATATATATATATACATATACATATACATATACATATACATACATGCATACATACATACATACATAACATAACATAACATAACATAACATAAACATAAACATAACATAACATAACATAACATAACATAACATACATACATACATACATACATACACACATCTCTCTCTCTCTCTATATATATTTATAACGACATTCATGCAAATATAATCAAACAATATATAGATTTACCGCGCTTTTTTTTCTTCCCCGTATTCTATCCAAACTTCCACTGCAATGATTCAATGGTCCTTTCATGTTCTTAGGGATCATTGTGGGGTGCGAAAGTGCCGAGACTCAGTTTGTGACATTCCGTTGAGAAGTTGAGAGTGGTCGAAGCTGATCAAAACACACACCGAAGCGAGCACACACACACACACACCGAAGCGAGCTGTGAAACAGAGAGCTGATATTTTCATGGGCAGATTTCAGGGAGGGAGGTGAGGGTGTTCCGGGTCACCGGGGTCACCGTGCTTTCATTTTTGTGTGGGGCGAACGGATGCATTTTAGACTTGAGCCTTGACCCTTACACCTTGAAAAACAATGAACAAATATCCAGGTGCTGGTCATTAGGTGATCTTAAGGCTTCTGGAGCAAGAACTGCTCGGTTTTATTTATGGTTCCTGCTCCACTCCAATCCGCGAACTCCGTCGAACTGCCACCCTTTTCCCCAACCCAAGTGCCTCAAAAGGCTTGTGGGCGCCTTTCATCCCGCCTTTCGTCCCGCTTTGGGAGGCTCAGGATCGACTACCAATTCGAGCGGACCACAAGCCCATGACGTCGTAGTGGGCGGAGAGGCGGCCCCCGAACGCCACGAGTTCGCATGGTCATGCCCCCTAGCCTTCAAGAGCAAGAATGGTTGGCCGGGTTTTGTAATGTAAAATATGTAGTAAAATCCATAGGTTGCTTGGCACAGGCCAGGCCAAACATCTTGAAACAAAGGTTGTTGGAATCCCGGTGGGCATGGGTTAGCACTCTGACGAGCACATCGCATGGAAGTGAAAAGAATGGGTCCAGAACCAACGGTCTTTTTGGGCACGGACTCCAGACTCTAAGCATTTACATAACGGGGGGCCCATTGGCCACCGATATATTCCATGTATGCCATATATGCCTACATTGACCCCCCAAAACCACCCCAATGTAGGCATATATGGCATACATGGAGCGTCTGAGGTATTATCACGAAAGGTAGCGGTTACGCTACCTGAGTTTTCCTTTTGCTTTAGCAAAAATGATTTATAACCAGAGTGGAGGCCTATCTCACTGAGAATCGCCTCCGACATTTCATTTTAGTGGCCGCCCTTTCAACTCCACCCTGGCGCGGCTCTTTGACAACGGCTAGAAGACACCGTAAATACCAGCGTTTTCAGCTCCTCCAGTCTTCAAGAATGGCCTCAAACCACGCAATTCACAGGGTTTTTTGTGGCTGTCTGGCAAAAAACCTCGTAAAAACCGATGTTTGTTTGAGGTGTCTAGGCTTCAAAAATTGTCGAAAAGTTGCCAAAAAACAAGGGAAGATTGTGTCAGAAAGGTTATTTTTGGCTTTGGGAGGCTTCAAAATGGCAAACAACGACGGTATTTACGTGGTTTTGTGCACCTTCCCGGCACAAGACCCTGTAAATATTGATAGTTTTAATGCTATGTAGGCTTCAAAGTGGCCACAAACTCGGCTGATCCAAGCACAGAAGTATGTCTCTCCCATACAACCTCGACTCTTTTTTCACGGTGCGATTTAAGGTTTGCAGTGTGGCATTTTGCCTCCTGGACTTCTACCAGGGTTACTTGTAATTGCCTGCTACCTTTTGTTCACCCCCTCCTCTCTCAAGTTATATGTGTTATGTATTTTATGTATTCGTTATGATTTCACAGAGTGTTCATGCCGTACTCAGGGTGGTGATCAGTGATGTGGGACAAAAACTTCTCTTGGACTGAGTGGGGAGGCATCCCCAACACTGGGTGAAGGAAAACATTCAGAGGGCTTTGTAAGTGGTCTTACTTGTTGATGTCTTTCTGTGTGAAGCCTTTCGCAGCGAACAGAGGGACTAGATGCTGATTGAGGGGCCCCTCACGCTCTGAGAGGGTTGGACTGGGACAGCAAAGAAGGCCACATGTGGCCGGGCTGAAGAACGGCCAGCTGACCTAAGATGCCCTTTAAGTGTGTCGCAGGTCGGTGTGCAAAGCTGATTGAACATCTTCAATTCTGCTGATTTGGATGGACAATATGCTTGCATTGTTTGAGACGAACAGGTTCCTATTGAAGCTTCTAATCAGAAGCTTCCACACTTCCTTCGGGAAGTGGGTTCCAGTTTCAGCTCGAGAACGGGCAGCATAGCTGTTTTAACGGAATGTCCGATGCAGAGCCCCCATGGGCCAAGCAACAGTGCACGGAAGAGTGGCGGCATTTGCGCGCCCGTACCTCTTCAGGAGGGCGAAGCACACAGGCCGTAGAGGCTATACTGGGCTGCATGCCAGAAGGAGCCTATATAACTAGCTTTTGCCTAGGAGGGGCCAAGGAGGCGGGGGTATCAAGTTAATGAAGGCCCGAAGATCTCTTTGAGGAATTGTAGCTACCTTTTTCATTCTTTTCTTTGCGGCGAAATGCTTAACACTTAAAACAGTCTTCAGAAATTGTGCCCACGCGACTCTGGCAGGGGATCGTATGTCAAATTGTTTCTTGGCAATTGACACTTCTCATGAAAAAGGCCTGAGGGAGGATCGTTGGAGATGTTTCACGCTGCCAGCAAGCTCCTTTACTACTTTACTTCATTGCGGGTCAAAAAAAATCCCTCCTCCCCCTGAACGAGCGCCCCTGCGGGTCCCCTGGTTGACTGGTTGGGCGTGTAATTTAATAGGAAGACCATGGAAGACCTCCAACCAATGAGTTTGTGTCTACTTGCCTTCTTCCAGGGGATGGAACTGGGAGGTCTCCCTATTTTAATGCACAACCCTGTTGTTACCATGTTGTTACCATAGTTTTCATTGATTTATGTTGGTGTCCACTCAGTCGATGCATCGTTGCATCGCAACATCATCAGCGGACGCGCAAAGCAGTGCAATGCACAGACGTGCGGCTGAGCTGGATGAGTGCGCGGGCCTGGCATTAAAGATGTAGAGAAGTGGACATCAGAGGTGGCCTCACACTTCCCCCAAAATGGCAGTGAATCAACTTCAACAATGCCATGTCGGCTATGCCTTTGACTTCCACGTTTGTTGGATTGGGCGATTTCAGGATCGCTTGGAGGACCCTCTCGAGTTGTTCGACGCCACCACGCCCTTGATACCCCACACGACAAGTCCGAGACAACGCGGGTCCGCGGCGTTGCCGGACCGGGCCGGTGCGGACCCAGGTGCCCCACACCAAACCGCTTCGGTGGGTCGAGAGGGCAAGGGCGGTCGGACAGTGAAGCAACTGAACCATGCTGACGCCGGATAAGAGGAGGTGGATGAAGGAAGGGACCCTCCAAATGAAGATGTAAAACCATTTGGACCATTTGGTGTTGGTTTTCAAGCATCAACGGGTCAACATTAGAGAGCTAACATACCATGGTAGATTCCGTCATACTCCGTAGATTCTGCCGGCGCGTTCTCCAGCCAGTCAAGACAGGACTTGCGGGGTTCCAGACGACGCAGCAGAAACGACTCAGACGTCACCAGCCCTGCTTGGGCATCAATGTCATTGGGGTGTGGGCCAAAACCGGGCCCTATAATACGCCATGGGAAAGTGTCCGCAAGCGCAGCGCCCCACAAACCATGGAAGGTTGGCATCCCTGGAAGGTTGTCATCGCGGAGCTTTGACCTGCAGCCATGTGGCTTGCTCATTTGTTATACGCTTTGTGGTGACTTATATAGCTTAAAGCATTCCGAGGTTTTCACCAAACACTTCAGCATGGCCCACGCAGCATCTCCTGTTGAGTGTGGCTAAGCCAACTCAGCTTGTACATGGCACCTGGGTGCTCGAAACAAAAAGCATCTCAGAACCTATTTTTTGAGGCAGAATGCTTGGGACCAAAGCCGTGTTCGTCCAGAATCGGTCTTCAGAAGGTCAGTTCGTCCAGCGCGGTCCAACGAATGTTCGTCCCGATGTGAGGCGGCCAAGTCCCAAGGCATCTCCAGGTTCCACGCAGGGCTGATCCGACGCAGGGATCGACCGAAGAAACGGTGGATGGCCGTGATGCGAGATGCGAAGAGATGGTGCACCGGACGCACCGGTGTCGGGAGAGATCCTCCACTTGTTATGCAATGCAAGAGGTTGACATTTCTTTTCAGGTGCTATGAACCAGACAACCATGTGGAGAACATGATCACCTTATCAATCCTGATCACCTTATCTATGTTACCACCTTCACACAAGCCACATGCAACATGCGGCAACATCGTCGTTTCCTCGACTCGACCTCTGGCGACACCGGGTCGGGTCAGAGTGCGTGGTGTCCTCTCCAACATGCGGGGAGAGTGCTGGGGCTCCTCAGACAGTGTGTCGGTCGTTGATAGCGCTGCACCAGACAGTCATAGAGGTCGTAGCGGCCAGACAGTGCCGGTGTATGAACAATGGCGCTCTGGACTAGCTGGGGGCATGGCGAAAAAAGAGGTCGCATGCGTTGCTTTTGCTAAAGGTGTACGGGCTTGTGCCCCCACAGAGACAAGCAGATTATTTTTTTGTGCCGCGCCTTGGGCCAAAGACCCGGCAAAATTATAGTTTTTCACTTTTTGACGCGGCTTTAATTTGGTAGAGCAAATCAGTTATACTACTGTTTTTACCGCGCCTTTTGGTTTAGGGACTCGAGCACAGCGCTAACAACAATAATGATTCTTACCGTTTGAACCGCGACGATATGTCAAGTTTCGATTGACCGACGATAAAAAGGAATCAATTTGTGCCGTTGTTTTTTCAGCCCTTCGTTGAAATCCACAGTTTTGTGTCCGGGATGTCGGTCAAACAGATCGGTTTGCTGCCAGTGCACCGCGCAAGCTAGGAAAACGCGCCTCGAGTGGGAAAATCCAACAATAGCTACAGTAGATAGATGTAGATAGTAGGACATCCAAAAAATGCTATTTTACAGTTGTGATTCCGAGTTTCGATAAAACCCACATTTGCATTTTGGATTTTTGCTCAACATGCGATCTGTCGACAACCAAACCCTCCCTATCACGAAAGGTAGCGGTTACGCTACCTGAGTTTTCCTTTTGCTTTAGCAAAAATGTATTAACCCAGAGCTGCAGCCTATCTCTCGGAGAAATGGTCCCCGACATCTTCGTTTGCTGCTTTCAACTCCACCCTAGCGCGCCTCGGGGTCAACCGTTCGAAAACACTGTAAATATCAGTGTTTTCAGCTCTTTCAGTCCTCAGCAGTGACAAAGAATCATGGAATTTACAGCGTTTTTTGTGGCTGTCCGGCAAAAAACACCGCAAAAACCGATGGTTTTTGATGCGTCTCGGTTAGAAAATTGACCGAAAAAAGACCAAAAACCAGGAAAGATTTTGTCAGAAAGGGTTTTTGAGGCTTTTGGAGGCTTCAAAATTGCACAAAACTATGGTATTTACAGGGTTTTGTGCACCTTCCCGGCAGAAAACGCCGGTATTTACACGGTTTTCTGCGCTTTTCCAGCGCTCAACCGTGGTGCGCCTTTGGATCGACGGCTACAAAATACCGTAAATACAAGTGTTTTCAGCTCCTCCTGTCTTCAAGAGTGGCCTTAGACCTTGCCGCGGCTGTGGATCAACGGCAACGAAACCTCGTAAATACGAGTGTTTTTGAGCACGTCCTGTTTGCAAGC